TCCTCTTTTGGAAGACTAAACAAAGTAGTTTCGCTTTCACAACAAAACACACTGAACACAAACACACACGCGTCTTCACGACATGGCGGCAGCAACAATACTACAGCGAGAATAAAAGTTACGCCTTCTTTCTTTGTCACGCAAAGAAAGAAGGCATAACTTTTATTCTCGCTGTACATTTGGGCAGCGTTATGCAAATCTTCCCACATCGTGACGTAGACATGTGGGGGCGTGTTAGAACGAGCCGTTTTAGGTAGGCGTGGTTGACTCTTAACTTTTATAAAGAATATCTCTTTGGATTTGAGACTTTAGTCTTTGCAACTTTACAGATCTTCTTTATGCACCAAGAGCTTGTAACATTCCAAAGAGAAAGGAAAAATTGAAATCGCATCATATGACCCCTTTCAGCTAAATTTAAAAACAGGTTGGGTGACAGGTGGCTAACTATATGGACAACTCACGTGTGATTGTGTAACAGATGGCTTTGCATTATGCACATCGAAAACCATTGTTACTGCCCTCTAGTGGTTCATTAGTATTAGCAATCCCCCAAAAAATGTTGAACCATTGTTGTCTTCAATGTCTTGGTAATATTGTTGATTTTGCCCACAGCACCCTCAGATACAGAAGAAGTCACAGTATATCAAATACCTGTGCTGTGATGATGTCAGAACTCTACACCAGTGGGTTAATGGCATTCGTATTGCTAAGGTAATCCCATAGCTTCCTATAGTCTGTCATGTTTTCTGTTCAGTTAATGAACCCTGTGACCTCAAAACATGTTCTTCTCAAACTAACTAATATGCCACATTAATTATATAACAAACGCTCTTCTGTATTTAAAAAGGAATTTATAACCGGAGCTCATGTTGGAAATTGCTTAATCTTCAACCGTGTATGTATATATGTTGGGTTTATATCACTTCCTCATTGAATGTGTTTTATGCACAGTATGGGAAGCAATTGTATGTGAACTACCAGGAAGCCATGAAGCGCACAGAAGCTGCCTATGACTGGTCTTCTCTCTCCAGTACCAGCATCAGGTCGGGAACAAGCTCAGTCAGTATACCTGGTGAGTAACTTGAACCTGATCACTTGAACCCTTCAAATATCATAGGCATTGGTAGTTATGGAGCATTTTCCTTTCATGGCATAATAGTGATTTTACTGACTTGTGACTGTATATGTATGGGTTGTTAGCTGATGTTTGTGCTTATTTGTTTGTGCTTAAAGAATCACAGTCAAACCACTCTAGCCAAGCAGACAGTGGTATGTCAGATGGTACTTCGTCCTCCCATGCCCGTTCCCAGAGTGTAGTCAGTTCAATCTTCTCTGAGGCCTGGAAGAGAGGGACGCAAATAGAAGAGAGCACAAAGGTGAGCCATCCTCTTGCTCTGGAAAGGAATATCTCTTTATATGGGCACTTGATAAAACACCACAGAGTAAAGGCCTTTTCACACTGAACTCGAAAATTTGGCGTGAATGTTCGGCGTGATGACTCTTTTAAAACTAAACAATAAATCCTATGGAACTATTCACACCAGGTGCGATCATTCGCGGCGCAAAATAGCGAAGATTTTGTTTTTTCGTTCTGTGTGTCGATTTTTCCCCTCGTCGCTCCGTGACAAAACGGGCCGTCCAATTAGATTTGAGCTAAGATCATGTGCCCGGAGCAGCTGCTGTTGCCCAAAAGGGTGAGAGTGGTGGCACTGTTTCGAAAAACCAATGTAAACAAACACCGAAGTATTCTGAGAGAGAAGAGGATGCTGAGTTCTTGTTATCATTGGTTTCTGAGAACAGATTTATCCTCACATGTTCTTTATACAGAATATAATTTCTATTAATTCTCCACTGAATGTGATCTGAAGAGCACTGTCTGTTTTCTTCCACGTGCGAGAGTGTTATGAGTCAGAGCATGTTCACTCAAGATCTGTCAATCATGGGATAATATCTCCTGCCATTACATACACTGAACAAAATTATAAACGCAACACTTTTGTTTTTTGTCCGGGTGGCTGGTCTCAGACGATCTTGGAGGTGAAGATGCTGGATGTGGAGGTCCTGGGCTGGTGTGGTTACACGTGGTCTGCGGTTGTGAGGCTGGTTGGATGTACTGCCAAATTCTCTGAAACGCCTTTGGAGACGGCTTATGGTAGAGAAATGAACATTCAATTTACGGGCAACAGCTCTGGTGGACATTCCTGCAGTCAGCATGCCAATTGCACGCTCCCTCAAAACTTGCGACATCTGTGGTATTGTGCTGTGTGATAAAACTGCACATTTTAGAGTGGCCTTTTATTGTGGCCAGCCTAAGGCTACTTAGGAAACCACACCTGTGCAATAATCATGCTGTCTAATCAGCATCTTGATATGCCACACCTGTGAGGTGGATGGATTATCTCAGCAAAGGAGAAGTGCTCACTAACACAGATTCAGACAGATTTGTGAACAATATTTGAGAGAAATAGGCCTTTTGTGTACATAGAAAAAGTCTTAGATCTTTGAGTTCAGCTCATGAAAAATGGGGGCAAAAACAAAAGTGTTGCGTTTATAATTTTGTTCAGTGTATGAAAAAAAATGAGAGAAACATTTTTCTATACATGAAATATGAAAGCAAACAGACATAAGATTGACAATATATTTTCTGTATGTGTTTTATGCAGCTCGTGCTATTTTTATAACAATAAATGATGTTTATGACAAATGATAAGCAAGTGTCATGTTCAAAACATTACAAAGAGTGCATGCCTGGCTATTATAATATGAAAATCCACTTTAGAGCTCAATCGGAAGTTATTACAAGCACTCAATGATGGCTTAAAGTGGGTTTTAAACAAAAAACATAAATAATCACATACATTTTCAAATGTAGCTTGATGCTAATTGTACCTCTATTTATATTTTAAGATGTATTCTTATAAGAATTATAAATTGTTTGTGTTTCTGGTGTAGAACCAAACTTTATCTTAATTTAATGCTGTATATTGAGCAGCAGACCATATATGAGATACATATCTAAGGAAAAATGCATTGCTGGTCGGCGCCACCTAGAGTGCAGGCGTGAATTAGCAGAAGATCAGTCATTTCGTGCTCTGTGTGAAAGCATGTTCGTTGGCGATTCACCTCACTTTTTCGCATCGCGCTCAGTGTGAAACGGCCTTAAGATGAACCACACTAAAGGCCTAAAGGATATTAAATTAAGAAATAACATATTCTTATTTATTGTTGTTTTTTATATTTGTTTAGGCAAGACCAGAATCAATGCGTTCTACCCATTCAAGCCATAGCAGCCATTCTTCTCATCATGTGCCTCAACAGCAGCATCCACACCCACTGCAACAGCCACATTCACATTCAATTCCACAGTCACGTGGAAGTGTCACCCAGGCACCGACACAGGCACCAATACAGACACCGATACAGGCACCAGCACAAATACCACCCCAGGCAACTCCAGCCCCACCACCGCCACCTCCTCCACCCCCTCCTCCTCCTATTTCCAATATCCCCCACCATGCCACACCTACCATGTTCGCCAAATACAGCACTATCACTCGGCTGCAGAATGCCTCTCAGGCCACAAGTCACCACAAACCTCAGCCTCAAGTCCAGCAGCAAGTGCCACCAGTCCCACCGGCCTCCAAACCACAATCGAACAATATTCCACCAGGGGCTAACATCCCACCCCCTCCTCCTCCACCTCCACCTGCCTCAATGCCTCCACCTGGATCAGCCATGGCTGTTTTGAAGCTTGGTCCTCCAGCCCCAGCAACAGTTTTACAGTCCTCCCCTCCTCCTCCTCCCCCCTCACCTCCACCACGTCCTCCCATAATGCCCATGCTGTCACAGCCTCTACCGCCTCCACCTCCCATAAGGCCAATGCAGTCACAGCCTTTACCACCTCCTCCTCCCATAAGGCCAATGCAGTCACAGCCTTTACCACCTCCTCCTCCCATAATGCCAATGCAGTCACAGCCCTTACCACCTCCTCCTCCCATAATGCCAATGCAGTCACAGCCTTTTCCACCTCTTCCTCCCATAATGCCAATGCAGTCACAGCCTTTACCACCTCCTCCACCCATAATGCCCGTGCAGTCACAGCCTTTACTGCCTCCTCCACCTCCCATAATGCCAATGCAGTCACAGACTTTACCACCTCCTCCTCCCATAATGCCAATGCAGTCACAGCCTTTACCACCTCCTCCACCCCCTCTTCAGGCTAATGGCCTTCCCCCTCCTCCACCATCCTCGACAGTACAGGCACCTTTCATAACCAATGGACTCAAGAAGGTCCTTGCCCACAAATTTCCCAATGTCCCCCAGGATATAATACCCCAGGCCAATCAGATCCATTCTTTGTCCATCAGATCATCATTCCTCCAGACTCGCCCAGTCCTCCGAAAAAAGTCCTAACCCATCCTGTCCCAAAAAAGCCAGACCCTGTGATACTGATGCCCGCTCCTCTCCCCCCACCACCTCCACCCCCTTGGGAGCTCTCTCCTCCTCCACCTCCTCCTCCTCCAGTGTCAGGCTCCCCTATCAGGAAGTCCCCTTCTGGCTCATCTGCAGGTGTCAAGAAACCTCCACTGACACCTCAGTGCAACTCCAGTGCGAAGTACAATGCCTCGGTGGAGTACCAGGAGTCCCGCAGGAACTTGGGGAGCAAGTTTAACCCTAGTTCATCGTTGACATCAAGCTCCAGTAGCTCACC